TAGTGTCATTGGCAGTTACATCAACATCACGTAATTGTAGATTGCCCTTAGGGAGTTAAGCAGTGGCGTAGCTAGGTGGGGGTGGAAGGGGAAGAATTTATTTGAAAATCTCCCCTGCCCCCACTTGAGTGTTTTTATATTGAAAATTAATGTTCCCCAAAATGCAGGGAACCCCAAAGAGTTCAATCTCCATGGCCCCCAAGCGATGGAAAATTCCTAGTCCCCCCCCCCTGGAATTTGGGTTATAGAAGCTAATGCTTGTAAATATGTCCCCCAAAGAGCCCTGCTTCTAGTGGTTTAACGTTTCTCCCTCAAAAGCTACGGTCTACGGGCTTTTTCTGTGCACGGACCAAAGCTTTAGAACTCGCTCCCAATGGATCTCAGACAGACAACATGCTTCACTACATTCAAAAAGAATATTAAGACCTACCTGTTTAAAACTTTTAAAAATACTTTTGTCATTTTAGCTCTCGTGTTTGTGTTTGTAAAGTTCTCACAGAGCCTTGAGCCTACATTTCGTTTGTTAACAGCATTTTATAAATTAAATTATTATTATTATTATACTTATTATTATTGCCAATCTCACTCCAACAAAATAAGAGCGAGAAACATTTAAAACTCCTACACACGCATAAAAAAATCAAGGATTAGTCCCACTCTACATTTTGTCTTTTGTCTCTGGCCCTGTAACACAAAAGTACATTATTCTGTAAGCGGTGCGTGGGGTGGGTGGGGTAGGGGAGACACTCTTTTGTCTTGGACTAAACATGTTACAACATAAGGTAGACTGTAGTCAAGTCAATGAAGTTCCAAGGTATCCATAGTTTTATTGATCGTGTCTGTCTCACAAAACCAGAAGATACGTTTCTTCGCATACGTTGGATGGCCAACTCCAAAGTTCATGTGTCTCTTCAGTTTCAAGACTGTATCACAAATGATATCTACAGTACAGATATGCTCAGGTAAAGTTATAATGTATACTACGGTTTCGTTGTTATTAAAATAGTAATTAATGCTCTATTTTTTAAATGGATGATTTTTACGCTTTAAGGTAGAAGTAATTTCCACCAAAAAGGCGCGGTGGCTGAGCGGTAAAGCGCTTGGCTTCCGAACTGAGAGTCCCTTGTTCAAATCCTAATAAAGACTAGGATTTCTAATTTCGGGATCTATGGGCGCCTTTGAATCCGTCCAGCTCTAATTGGTACCTGACATAAGTTTGGGAAAACTAAGGCGGTTGGTCGTTGTGCTGGCCACATGACACCCTCGTTAACCGTAGGCCACAGAAACAGATGACCTTAACATCATCTGCCATATAAACCACAAGGTCTGAAAAGGGAACTTTACATTTTACTTTCTACCAGATTTGGGAGTGACATGAGAACCTCTTAGGGCTCTAGGCCATTGAATAGGCCAATGATAAGGCAATCTTTCTGTCTTTGACGGTTTCAAGAAGATGTCTACTACACCTGTCTCTCTAGGAAGACCATTGCCGTTCTATTTGTCACCATTGTCTTTTTTTTTCTAGCAAAAAATGATCCCTATGAGAAATGATTTTGTTATTTGGGAAAATATAGAAGCACAGTTCTTATTCCATACGCTAAAACAAATTCGTACAAGTGATTCTTCTTCTCTAGTACCATAAGAGAATTGGCTGCCTGAATCAGTCAGGAAAACCAACGACTTAGCAGATTTGAAATCATTGATTAACATGCATGACTAGAGTGACACATGAAATGCGTAAAACATAATTATCTTCTTCTTTTTGTAAAGTAACGTCTGTAATATATAAGATTGATGATGTTTTTTTTCATCCCCACCAAGTGCTATGAGTTAGGTTCCATATGCCATAAGATTGTAGGTTAATATGCCATAAATATACAGTGTATATTTTAAGAAAGTCTAATAATTACATACCAGTAACCTAGCTTTGTGTTTTAAGGTTCACTTTAACTCTTATGTGATATGTCTTTCTTTCAGATGTGATCAAAGCGCTTGTTTTAAATATGAAAATAATGCAAACGTCCTCTACTGCCTATGTGTGAAACGTCTTATCTATATTACCTTGTATTTTAGCGTGGACGTATTTGAATAAAGTGACTCTATGCTTATATTAAAAATGTGCTGCATCATTGAACCATTCAAAACAAGTATTGCTGCTGAAGTAGACTATGCCAAAGAAGACGACGAAGTGAAAGCTATATATGAGGCAATAAAATCTGACAATGACAACACAGTAGATTTAAGTCAAACGAAGAAAAACGCCAGCCAAGATCAGAATGAAGGCTACAAAGGTTTGTGTGCACTTCGCGAGTTCATTAAAAGCCGTGATGAAGTAGAGGTTTCTAATCGCTTAAGAACATTTTATTCTAGAACTTACGAAGTTTACACAGAGGAGACTAAAACTGAAGGAAGCCGAGACAGACTGATACACACTGCTGCATTATTCAGTAGAGATAGCAGCATAATTGAACTCTTGACGAACTATTGCCCAACATTGATTACCACGAAACGAACAGGGGGCTATGCGGGACAAACTGCTTTGCATATAACCATTTTTAAAGAAAAGTTTAAAGCTACAGAAATCCTTTTAAAAGCGGCAATGTCTAACAATCTCTATAACAAGGTCTGGTCTGCCAGGGCCACGGGGCCCAATTTCAAGAATAACATAATGATGGGAGAGACTGTGTTCTCTGTAGCTGTATTAACTCTAAAACCTAAGATGGTAGATCTTCTGCTGAGGTACGGCGCTCCTATTGAAGAAGTCAACAGCAAGGGAGATAATGTTATTCATACATTAATTAAATATGCGGCTCTTAAACCTGACAGCATACCCAAAATTATCAAAATGTTAAAGCACTTGAGAAAAAAAACAATTAAAGATCCGGACAAAACAGACACGTTAATTGCAAAATTATGGTTTGGAGAAAATGAAAATTTAGAGACGCCATTAAAGTTGTCCGTTTCCAGAGGGTTAGTAGACGTCTTTAATGCCCTGATGAAGATGAAATTCATATTCTACTTTCCTTGTGAAAACGACGGAAGTTTCGACTTACGCTTCTTTGACATAACAGAGATCGATCACATCAATCAGCTGGAATACACAAAAAACAAGTTAGAGAAGACACGCATCTCCAGCTCCTGCTGCCCCAGCTGCTCCTTCTCCTGCTACTCCTGCTGCCCCCGTTGCACCAGCTGCTGCACCTGCTGCAGCTGCTACTGTTGCTCCAGCTGCTTCTTTGTTAAGAAACGAATTTCTATTACTGAAAAGCTTTGCGATCTTGAGTGGGAAACAGCATTGCCTTTTATTGATGACTATAAAGTTCCCATAATCAAAGCCGTCTTGTCCAAAAGATACAATAACAAAAGCCTAAAGTTTGTTTACATTCTGTACGCTTTTAACCATTTAATTATGTTGCTACTTTTTACAATCTCCATTTTCTACAGAAAGTATGTTGCCAATACAAAATGCAGCGACAGCTGCAGAAATGAATATATAGTAAGTCAAGTGGTGCCCTGGATTCTTATGGTTTACGGCTTGGCAATGATAGCTTTAGAGTTTGTGAGATGTCTGGGTTTAAAAAAAATTGACTTGGTTTTTAAACCTTACAAAAAAAGGCAAGGAGAACGGGAATTCTTAAAAGAAATAGGTAGACGTCTGATAATGAGATATCATCAGAATGACTTGTACAGAATTGGACAATTAGTATTCGGTGTCTGTTTAGTGGTCGATTGTTTCATGTTTAATGTCCAAAAAGATGACAAAAATGATCTGACCGTGACCGCTCTCTTTTCTGGCGTTTGGTTCACATTCTTTTTCTTTAAGGGATTGGACAAGTTCTCTATCTACACGGTCATGTTTCAGAAAGTCATTATGGGAGATATGTTTCGTTTTGGTATCTGGATAGTGATTGAGTTCACGGCGTTTTGTTTCGCCATGTATATCGTTCTGAGGGATAACATCAATGGAGGAGTAGAAGAGTTCAGCACTTTTACGAATACAACATTAACCATGTTTTCTTACATGCTTGGCCTCAAGGATTTGTCTTTCTTAGACCAAGTGGATGAGACAAGTCAGCATCTGGTGGCCATTATCTATGTCTTATGTATAATCGTCACATATATACTGCTGATCAACTCACTGATCGCTATGATGTCTAAAAATGCAGAGGATACTTTTAAACATCGAAAGTCCATGATTCTCTTACAGAAGTTCTCGGTTGTCTTGTACTTGGACGCCATTTTGTTTATATTCTGTTTACAGAAACCGATCAATGAAAGATTGTCTTCCGGTACAATCTCCAATTTTAGAAAAGAAAATCTTAGAAAAGACAGATTTTACCTGGCCATAAAAACAGAAAATAGTGGTAAATTTAAACGACAAAGTAAAGACGGAAGCAGTTTGAGAAATTTAGCTTTGAGAGATTTTAAAAACGATTTGCTTCCAACCAAACACACAATTTCAAAGGAAAGAAAAAAAATGAATGGTGAAGATTCACAAAATGAAACGGAATATGACCCCAGGATTCCTGATTATAGTGACCCAGTGCTTGATATAGATAGTCAACGTTAAAGGAACAAAGTGTTTTAACGAGGTCGGATTTACAAACGCAGTGCAGACTGAGTGACGTCCCATGGACAATAAAAATTTAAATTTATAAGTAATGTATTTTCTATCTTCAAAAATATTAGCTTCTAGATTTAGTTATTAATATTATTCAGTGCATTTTTTATGTAAAAAACAAGCAAAACAAAAATAATAAAAACAACAAAGCTTGTATTTAGTGAAGTTTTATCAGTAAATCTAAATCTGTCTGGAATTGACGCGAAATCTGTCATGTAATTAAACTTGTAATAGATCGAGACTATCAATAATAAATCTGTGCGATTAGAAATAGTCTTGCCCATTTTTGTTTTAGCTTTCTCACTAAGCTATGATCCAATCACTTTCTCACTAATCTATGATCCTATCATTTGCTCACTAAGCTATAATCCTATGACTTTCTCACTAATCTATGATCCTATCACTTTCTCACTAAGCTATGATCGTACCACTTTCTCACTAAGCAATGATCCTATCACTTGTCGGGACCAGTTAAAAAGGGTATGGGGAGAAAGAAGGGGATATCTGGGTGATCGCTTGTTAAATGTATTTTTAAAAAATTGAACGACCTGAATTCAAACTCTGAGGCTAAAGCCTTCTAAGCCTCCTCAAACCACTGCGCCAGGGATGAAACTATGTTAATAGCTAGTTATAAATATTGACAACTTTTCTTCCTACAAACAATAACAGAGACTAATTTAACTTATACTTCCTTATCAGTCAAGTAGAATTTCGTTCCCTTGTTCGAGATACAAAACAAAACTATAGTTAATTAACTGATTGTTTTTTGTTTTTTGTTTTTTTTCGCTTTATAGATTCTTGTGTTTTCATGTAACTGAAATAAGTATGCCAAATGTCAAGGAACGAGATTAAATGTACATATAGGCCTACTCTAGTTCTTTCTTTAAAAAAACGTCATACTTTAGAGTTATAATATTTTAAATGCTTTAGCCTAAATTACAGCTTGTAGAGGTTAAGGGGTCTTAACTTACTAAAGCCACAATATGGCATGTATGGATTTACTAGGCCCGTGTATTAAATATATATGATTTTAATTATTCATTGATAGACTTATATTTATAACCTGACATTAATTAATTCATTTATATATTTATAACCTGCCTTATTTATGTATTGATATATGTATAACCGGCTATTATTTTTTTTTTTTTATATAAATTGCAGTTTCAGTATCCTGGGCAATTATGTAAGACTGTAAATATTTTTGATAATGTACATGTATATGAAGAAAAATAAAGAGTATTTATTTATTTCTCTGTCAGTCTCACTTTCTTTAATAATAATAATAATAATAATAATAATAATAATAATAATAATAATAATAATAATAATAATAATAATAATAATAATAATAATAATAATAATAATAATAATACTAAGAAGAAGAAGAAGAAGAAGAAAAAGGAAGAAAATATCATGCTGTCGGATTTTCAGTATCTTTCCAGTATACGAGATCAAAACGGGAAAGACGGACGGACAGACAGACCACACAAAACCAATAGCGTCTTTTCCCCTTTCGGGGGCGCTAATAATCCATAAGGAAATTTCTCTTACAATTTGTGCATTCACCAAACAAAACATGATAACTAAAGAAAGCCAAACAAAACATGATAAATAAGAAAGCCAAACAAAACATGATAACTAAAGAAAGCCAAAATAAATATTGACATCAGACTCACTCATAATTTACAGGTCTAGGGTAAACAATGCAACATCTAAAACTCGTATAGTCAACACAGGTGCGCCCCAGGGGACTGTGACATTGCCATTGTGGTACATTTGATACACCAAGGAATTTAAATTAGAAAACCCTTTTGGCTGTTTAACAAAATTTACTGATGATGCGGCTTCTCTAGCCTACTTCTCAAAGTCTGACCTAAATAACTTTCTTAGAGAAATAAAAACATTGAAGAATATTGCTATAATAACTTTTTAAATATTAAATGTAACAACAACAACAAAAGAAATAATAATCGAGTCTCGTAGGAGAATGACATTGTTTCGGTAGTTGGAGAGAAATAGTGCAAACTTTTAAATAGCTTGGCACTGTCTTAGATAATACATTACATTTTAAAGCAAACATTGCTTATATCACCAAAAGAGGGCAACAAAGATTAAAATTACTAAACAAAAATGGTCCTACACAGTTGAACAGAAGTAAAAAAAAAAAGTCACATGACTTAAAGATCCCTGACGTTTGGTGCATCCTGTGCGCTTTTCTAGTATGCCAAATTTAGTTTTTGTATGGACAGATGTAGGATTAGTTTATAGTTCTTAGGTTCTTGTATATTCGTGCTGGAAATATGTATAGCTGTCCCTTTTTACTTGCAATGCTTACTAAAAGGTGGACCAAAAGGGGAAACCGTTGTGTGAAACACAGAAATTCTCTGTTTAATCCTTTTATTTTGTGTATTGTGCATTTTCTAGCTATTTCAAAAATCCTTTTATTTTGTGTATTGTGCATTTTCCTGCTATTTCAAAAACCTAATGTGATATTCTTTCTCACTTAGATCCTCCAACGCCGTTCGGCGCATTTGACGTCAAGCTGTTTCCACAAAAATCTGTCACTGGAAATGTCTGAAGCCTCTTCCCTTCTGCTCTGAAAACCTCCATGAATGTCAGGCCCCAAGTTGTACTGGGTTGTCATAATTCATTTTGTCGGAGAAAAAGTCCCGCAAACCTCATGCGACGCTCTGTCACAATCTTACTAAGGGGTCAACTCCCATTTCGGCTTAGGATTTCCTTGATTTAGACCCGATCTCTATAACTGACTCCTAAAATCTGTCTTAGCCATCTTTGTTGAGCCACATTTAGTGTTTTTCAATTTTGGCAGATGACTATTCACTGCACTTTATCAATAGGGCCCCGCCACTTGTAGAAATGCGTAACCTCTCTTGAATACGTTCTTGGAATTTGGTGACTGTAGTTTGCTTTAGATTTTATATCGAAAAGGGAAGTTTTATCGTTAAAATCATCTGTTGGGGGATTTTAAACTAAAATATCTCTAGAATTTTATTTTTATTTTTTAAAATTCAAAACTCCATTTAGCTATGGTCATAGAATTTGGTAACTGTAGTTTGCTTTAGAATAATATTGAAGATAGAGGTTTTCCACCTCAAAACACACTGTAGGGGGATTTTAAACTAGGGGTTTTAAACTTTTAAAAAGCCATCTGTAGGAGAAGGGTTTAAACTCAAATCCCCAATTGGCTTGGCTACGCTCAAATAATTTTAGTGTGTTATTTGTTTTTTTTTTATATTGAAGAGGTATTTTTTAAAATCAAACCCCTCTGAGGGGGGTAGGGTTAAACTCAAAACCCCTTTTGGCAAAGCTCATAGCATTTTGAGTGCGTAATTTGCTTTTTTTTAAAATTGAAGATGTATTTTTTAGCATTAAACTCCACAGGAGGGGAGTTTAAACTCGATACCTTTTTGACTACACATAGAATTTTGAGTGTTAAATTTGCTTTGTTTTTAATATTAAAGAGGTATTTTTTACCTTCAAACCCCGCAGAAGGAGGGTTCAAACTCAAAATTGAGTGAAAATCATTTAGCTACGCTCATAACATTTTGAGTGCGTAATTTGCTTTTTTTTTATATTGAAGAGGTATTTTTTTTAGTTTCAAACCCTACTGAAGAGGGGGGGGGGGTTTAAACTCAAAACACCTTTGGCTACCTCATAGAATTTTGATTGTGTAATTTGTTTTTTTTTATATTGAAGAGGGAGTTTAGCGTAAATTTTGAAGGGGGTTTTAAAATCAAAATTTTCCTTAACTGTGCTCTTGGAATTTGGGAATTGTCGTTTGCATTTTTTGTTTTGTTTTATAGAAGAGGGGGATTTAACTGCAAAATCCCCTGGTAGGGGGTTTTAAACTCAAAACCCCTGGTAGGGGTTTTAAACTCAAAACCTCCTAGTAGGGGTTTTCAAACTCAAAATCCCCTGGTAGGGGGTTTTAAACTCAAAACCACCTTGGCTGTGCTGGGAAAATGGATGGTTTAGTATTAAAATCTCACCTAAAATAAACAAAATCAAAGCAAATAATAAGTCACTAAATTCCGATCCCCCCCGCAGGGGGGGGGTTCCATTCCGGGTCAACCCCCTCCCCCCTGGCTACGCCCATGGTTAGATGGTTACCTCATAATACTCATGTAAATAACACTTCACAACAGTAAACTCTTTTTTCTCTCTCTCTCCTTTCTTTCTCTTTATTCTCTTTTCTCTTTTTTTTTCCCCTCTTTCTCTCTTCCTCCCCATCTGTTCTTTTTCTCTCTCATTTCTGTTTTGCACTATATCTCTCTTTTACTCTAGTCTCAACTATTCTCTCTCTCTCTTCCTATCCTTTATATCCCTCTCTTTTTTTCTCCGTCTTTCTTTTTTTTGCTCACTCTTTCTTTCTCTCTTTTTTATTCTTTTTCTCGTCCTCTTTCTCTCTTTTTTCTTCTCTCTTACACATACAAACATACAAAGGTAAATACGGACAGGTCGTGTGATTAACGCTCTGGGCTGTCAAAACGTTTACAACCCAAAAAATTATCAAGAAGAAGTAGATAAAAATAGTTTTACCATAGGAGATTGCTGTGGTATAGGAATGGCAGTGTTATGACAGAGACCGTGTCATGATGTCATAACATTTGCAGGACCGAAATTCAAGTAGCAAAAAAAGATTTCCAAACAAATGGACATTCAGTTTGACTTCAATTGTCTACCTCAGTATTGTTTCTATAACAATCTAGATGCAAAACACGAGCAACACTCGCGTACACTCACCTGCACTTTATAAATTAGACTCCTGTGTACTTCTCGGTGACCACATGTGAACATTAATACACCCTGTCTAAAAGTGGGATAAAGGAGTTTATCTTTAAATTTGAGGGCACTAGACATTTTATAAAATGACAGTGTCTTAGAGTAGTTACCTAACATCTATGTTGATACATAGTAGCTGGATTATCATATCCCTGAATAGAACACAACAAATTAAGTCCATCCCTTTTCGTGAAGTAATGTGTGTAGATTTTCTGAATATGTGGCAAGATCTTTCCATCATGGTAACTGAAGTTTACATACAAGGTAATTTATGATATTGTTTAGTGTAACGAAACGATTACGGAGATACTATGAACAAAAATAGAGCCTTTTTGTTTGTCAGATAAAATCAGATCGGATTGGAACCCATACCATTAAAAACAATCAAAATATTTTTAAAATTATTTTTTAACACAAAGCTTATCTAGCCTCGAGATCACTACCGTATATCTCAATACTTCATGAATAAGCTCCCGTTTTCTATATAAAACAAAACTAATTAATTAGGCCTACAACAATTTTACTAATTAATTGGTGCTTTTTTTTAAATATTGTCAGCAACTGTGAATAAATAGGAAAATTTTTAATTTGATCAGAGAATGTGAGTTGGTAGAAAAACGTTTACAAATAGTTAAAAGGGAAATAACTCCACATATACAGCCACATCTTTCAAAGTATTATTTATTTTCCTTTGTAAATATCAAAGAAAGAAATTAATTGTAATTTTTTTTCATTGATTCATGCTTTGTTAGGTATAACAAATAAATGTGTAAAACCTAAACTTGATCCAGGAATGGGTCTTGTACACAAATTGTACCAGTCCAATAGGCAAAGTAAGTTGATATAAGCTTTATATAAAAAAACGAATTGGATTGCACAACATGCGTGTTTTTAACGCATCACACAACATGCGTGTTTTTAACGCATCGCACAACATGCGTGTTTTTAACGCATCACACAACATGCGTGTTTTTAACGCATCGCACAACATGCGTGTTTTTAACGCATCACACAACATGCGTGTTTTTAACGCATCGCACAACATGCGTGTTTTTAACGCATCACACAACATGCGTGTTTTTAACGCATCACACAACATGCGTGTTTTTAACGCATCACACAACATGCGTGTTTTTAACGCATCACACAACATGCGTGTTTTTAACGCATCACACAACATGCGTGTTTTTAACGCATCACACAACATGCTTGTTTTTAACGCATCACACAACATGCGTGTTTTTAACGCATCACACAACATGCGTGTTTTTAACGCATCACACAACATGCGTGTTTTTAACGCATCACACAACATGCGTGTTTTTAACGCATCACACAACATGCGTGTTTTTAACGCATCACACAACATGCGTGTTTTTAACGCATCACACAACATGCGTGTTTTTAACGCTTCACACAACATGCGTGTTTTTAACGCTTCACAC